TCGGTCCCATAGTAAGAAAAACCTCTATTATATTGGTGGTGAGTGGAACAAACCTAAGCTGGATGGACGAATTTTGGGTGAAGGAGCGAAGGGACTGGATCTGATCCGTCTACGGATCAAATGACAAATGGAGCCTCTGGGCACCGCTTCAGAAAACAGTCGAACGAGACAAGCCAGCAACAGCTTTTTTAGTCCAATTCCAGAACATCTACGAAGGCTCTGAAATTTGCATTCCTGGCAAGCAATATTTCCTGAAGACTAAAATCACGTTCGTTGTTCGTAAGACTCCAGCCCCGGGTTCGTTCGCGATCACAGGGGCACCCCGGCGAAGCAACGTGACGAACACGCGCCCGATAACCAAACACCAACGTCGCCTACGATTACTCACCGATTAGGAAGTGATTCAGTTGAACGAGTCAATAGTGTGGAATGAACGGGCAATAGCCCCCTTCACTCGCCTCTCCCCGTGAACTCGCGACGAGCGTGTACTTAGAAATTGTCCACAACGCTCGCACTCTCCCTATTGCCCTTTCGCATCACGTCAGCTGACATGAACCCAAGAGAACGAATCAGAGAACCTAAACATATCACTTCTAGGCCATAAACCGGTCCCTTTACACCCGATCTATTTCAACGGGGTCGGGTCGTGCGTCTCACGTGACGTAATGCCCCAATAGTGTATCTAATGTCATCCAATAATGTTATTCCAGCATTCTATTCCTTGCTCTTGAAAAATCCTACTTTTAACACATTGACGACGGCCTGTCGTGAGTGCTCCTGGGCATTTTTTTATATTCGTCCAAAATCAGCACTACATACTCTATCGATGATAATGGCAATGGACAGTACCTTTGGATCCAATGGTGAGGAAGATGAAAACATAAAGATTTCTAACACAAAAAATATCGAGTAAATCCAGCAAAACCGTACCCATTACCACGAAAATCTGACGCGCCGCGGGGGATAAGTGACGCGTCATGCTGACGTCACCGTAATCAACTTTAGCCTACCGAAAATATTTCCTCAATTTTTCTCAGTACTTCAACCGATACACTAAACCCCCAAAAATATCACATATGGTGACTTGAAGGTCCTTCGTTTTTTGACCTCAACTTAGCTAACGTACATGGTAAATATGTCCTCATAGAAGTTAATCCATGAAAGTAAATGCCTTTCCAACAAAGCGGGTCACAGTTCTAACTGCGGCCCAATGTCTCCTTCCTCCTCACGAACACCGCCCACCTCACAAGTCCCGCCTTCCAATCGGTGTTAATGAAAAGAAAAGACTCATTGAATATTCACCTCATGCTATGATTGCTTGAACTGAACACGAGAATGAATTGCATGATTTTACCTGACGTCATCGAACATTGACCAATTGAATTGAAGAATACCTATAAATGTTCGTTCATTCCTCGTCGACAACGTCCATGTAAACAAGTGTTTGTGTTATGACGACCCTTGAAGGGAGGGGCGACGAATTATGAACCCACAACCACATTCATAACAAAAAATTGGTATTGGAGCGTAATCGATACCCGATGAAAAGTTTTTGTGAGTGGGAAAAGCAGCTTAACAGACGGGTAACCCTCTATTTCGGAAGACGAGAAGAGCGCCGAGTGCAGGCCACACACCACAAGTGACGACTGCCGGGAAAAAGCGGCCTTTTTCGTCGCTTGTGGTGTGTGGTCCGCACTCGACGCTCTTCTCGTCCTCCGTAATAAAGGGTGGCTAGGCTTTCACATCGCTAAGCGAAATCGTGGACTATCTTTTAGGGAGTTTTTTATTAATAAAAATCGCTTAGCTCTGAAAAAGATAACAGTGGCTATGAAGAAGCCTATGTCTTCAGAAAGTTTGGATTGGAATTCGGAAATCGGATGATCAAAAAGCAACAGGAATGCCAGAACGAAAGGGATTCGAGATGTTACCGGTCGTATTTCTGTTAAGCTGTCGTCAACAAAACATATGTCCGGCTCTGGAAAAGTCAAGATAACCTATCTATTTCGGAAAGACTTCAATATTTGTGAACAGGGAATGGATCCGATCCACTACATGCCACTTGTGGGAAGTGGCGCCTTCAGTCACTCCACCACTGTCGCATTATGGATGGGATTGATGTTTCCTAGGAGTTTTCGCGATGTTTTTGCAAAAAGTCACGAGGAAAATGTGATTTTGATCGTTCAGTTGTAATGAGTACGAGGGGGCGTGACCAGCTGCATACGCTGTGTCATTGTTGTTCATTCCGACAGCCCTGACGCTCGATTTCGCCCATGGTAGCGCCAACCTCGACGGGGTGCAAGCGACCAGATTTATCACTCACTTCCGCCGCTGAGAAATAGTTGGCAATTTTGCTGAGCTCGTGCCAGGCACACTAGGATCACGCCCTTTCTTGCGGCAATCTTATCACAACTACCGTGTCTGTGAACATTACCGGCGGCTCTTTAAAGTACTTTCCGTTATCATCTTCGCTTCCGACCAGTAAATGTCGCGGTCACTCGTGTTTTCGTCTTTTAGCCACTTGTTGAACCGAGGCAGACGTGTTTGGTGTGCAATTGCACACTAATTCTTAGGTCATACGCTAATTTTAATGTCGCTGTTCTGTAGCTGATTCCTTGCCGCAATCCTGATCTTTCTAAGTATAAACACTTCGAACTTATCAATTGTCTCTTGGATGTGCGAGAGGATGTGTCCCCCTTCAAGGGGTGTTTCCTGTGTTGTCTCTTGGAATCCCTACTTTCAGTTTTTGGTGCAGAACTAGACGGGGAGGGGATGGGCCCATTTTAGATTAGGGTAGGCGCACTATGTAAGCAGTGCATATTTTTCACTTACATCTTCTTTGAGTGCAGATTTGGCTTATCTTTCATTTTTTCTGGGAAGTTCCAATTATTCCTTCATTTTCGGACCGTAGTTTTA